ATATCTTAATCTGATCAAGATAATATACAAGTGTTTCAGCTTAGACTCTGCTATCAAAAGTAGCATATATACAATGAAAGTATACCATGTATACAAACTGTAATATTGTAAATACTGCATGCGATTGAGGAAATATGTGGGTCAAATATGTGTGATTTCATTTACTTTAATGCATTTGATAGCTTTATTTTTAAAACGCGAAACGTGTGGTATTTTCATACCATTTTAAAGCCTGATTTTCAAGCAAGGAAACATTTACAAGGGACAAAAGCTCAATGCTGAGGCAAAATTTTCCTTTGAAGGTCACTGGGTCAGGACCACTTGGACGACAAAGGGGAAAGGGGGAGGGAGATTTTTGAAGGGGAGCACTTTATAGTGTTTGATATCTCTTCAGGAAGGTTGCGAAACATCTAGAGTTCGCGTGTATAATGATTTTACCTGAACTTCAATGTTAAAAATTAAATTCCTAAGAATAAAGGAGGATGAATTGTTATATTAAATCAAGAATTAAACATTAACAATTTGCTTTATATCACATTTAGCAATGCACATGTTAACTTGTTAAAGTAGATTTTGAGCTCTATATATTAAAAGTGCACTTTTGTCCACTCGTCCCTAGCTTACTACTTCAGCCTCTTTGTCAAACTATATGAAACTATAGAACTACTGTACACCACTAAAAATCTGCCCCTGCCAACTTCGCCAACCTTTTGTCCTTTAAAGAATCTTTTATGACACTTTCAGGAAAGTGATTGAGAAAACGCGTTTGATATAAAAATTGCACTTTGATTTGTATTGTTAGTTTATGTTATAATGTTTTATGTTGTAATGTACGTAATTGTTATACGGTCAGCACCATGCATGAGATTTCATGTTCCGTTCCTTCTCTATTTTGACCGTTTGGGTCTTCTGCTTTTCGTATTCTAAGTATATTGTCTGTCCTGTGTTTGATTTTGGCATTGTCTGTCTATAGTACTGTAAAATTCTCAATAAAAATGTTAAAAATACAAAAGGGCAGTGAGAGGGAGACTTACAGTATATATCCCAATTTTTACCACATATATACCCAACCATGACTTCACCGTAATATATATATATAAATATATATATATATATATATATATATATATATATATATATATATATATATATATATATATATATATATATATATATATATAACATGAACTTGCGGTTAGAGATCGACAACTGGATTCTGTAGCTCAGTTGGTTCACCGCAGTTGGTTAGAGCGCTACACCGGAATTGCAGGACCGCAGGCTCGTTCCCTGCCACAAGGCCTCTGGTTGCATTTTTCGCAACTGCTCCTGTTGAGGTCTAAATAAATTCATAAAATTCAGGGACTGCGGAGCCATTCTTGGATTAGGGCTATAGCGAACGGCCGAAGGCGTGAGTTTGTTAGGGGGGTGCAGGGGCATGCTCCCCCGGAAAAGTTTGAAATCTGAAACATCCCAGAGCCCCGGGAATGCAAACAAATTTACTAGTTGCTATTATCCATCATTTGTTTAATCCAACCAGAAATAGATCGAATACTTGGCTATAAAAGTTAGAAATATATTATTAACTGATGTGAAAGAATTCAGTATTCTTAGTTTATAAAAATCACATATGTATGGAAAATTATTGGGGGGGGGTCTCGGTCCCTGCAATTTACTCTCGAAATTTCCATCCACAAAATCCTTCCACATTCGCTCAATCGAGTGAGATGCCCAATTTTGACATGGATGTATACAACGGTAATTTTCACCGTAATCTAAACCCCAATGCATGCGTAAACAAGACTAACGCACCTGGGCACCAAAATTATTGTGACGTCGTTTAGAAACATTAAATTCTTAATTGGTTAATAATATTCAGGTCAACTTTGCCCAAGGACAAACAAAGAACCAGGGAAGAGCTGTGCTCCAGAGTGCGTGACTTTCATTGGCTGTCCCTCTAGTAAGAAAGAATGTATTTGTGATGGAGACTGTGGGTACTGTTGCATTCAGAAAGGTATTTGTGCTGAATTTACTCAGTCGAGTTTATTGAGCTGGAATCAGTGACAAAGAGTACTAACCATACAAAGATCTCACTTCGTGAAAGAGTACACGCCTGACAAAAATGCATGCCAAAGCGCCAACGTGCTTCAACTTCTTTAATTTCCATCCTGTTTCTGCCAAATTTCCCATAAACATAGAACATATCATTCTTACAAATCGTATGGTTTTTGTTTTTCGAATTGCCACATTTTTGGCGGGAAAATGTATGTCACAAACTTTGCGCCAAAAAATAATAGTTAGCTATTGGTTATTATATGCACAAATTCGGTAGACGACATTGAGAGAGTCTTAAACCTGAAGTCTGTTTCGAAATACAACCATTCCTTGCGAAGATATCATGGCTCAAATTTCTAAAAATCGGCCATTTTCTTCTATTTTAGCAACAAAATGGCCGATTTTTCGACATTTGTCGCTATATATTCGCGAGCAATAGTCGTATTTAGAAACGGAGTTTAGTTTTATGACTCTCTCAATGTCATCTACCGAATAAGTGCATAAAATTAACAATAGCTAACTGTTAATTTTTTAGCGCCAAGTTTGTGACGTCATTTTCCCGCCAAAAATGTAGCATTTCGAAAAACAAAAACCATACGATTTGTAAGAATGACATGTTCCAGGTTTATGGCAAATTTTGTAGAAACAGGACGAAAATTAAAGAAGTTTGGCATGTATTTTGGTCAAGGCGTGGTAGTTTTACTGCGTATATCTGGCGACTATGTTCTTAGCAAGTGGAGAGAGGCACGCATCCCCTGGATTATTAAATTTCAATATGTTTTGCTAAAAACATGGGGGACTGGAAAATTCCCTAACGCTGAAATATATAAGAAGTGAGATCTCTGCTAATAAACCTGCATTTAAATAAGTTAAAGACAATACATTTCTAAAAGTTGAATAATGCAAATCTTTAAAAATTTGCATAGCATGACCAGTTGCTGTGGCTAATTTCGCCACTCAATTTTCTGCGACTCGACTTGAGTCGAATACAAAAAATGAGTCGACTCGAGTCAACAGCCCCATGGCCGCCCAGAGGGGGAGGCAACGGGACAATTTTCCCTGGGCCCCCAGTTAATAGGCCACCAAAATTTGCAAAAGGGGGCCCCAAAAGGTGTAATTAAAAAATTAGCCGTACTGCTGCCTGTAGGGCTCAGGTAAACAGCCCATTAACTGCGCTACAACTTGTTCGGGATAAATTCATTAAAATTTAAAAAAATATTGTAGTTCACAGTTGGTAAGAGTCCGGAAAGGGCTTGAGTCCAGAAAGGGCTTGTAGAGTGGCATTTTGTTCACCTTTTTGTCCACCGTACAATTCGCGTAGCCATTGACACGACTCGATCCGACTTGAATGAAGACATTAACTCGACTCGTGCCATTGACTCGACTCGGGCTCAGGGGCGTAACTAGAGGGGCGTGTGGGGTGTGGGAGTGTAACACCCCCATTCATCACGTGCACGGACTTGCCAAATGTCTGCTAAACTTGGCAAATTTTTTTCTGATTTATCGGCAAATTGTTTTCGTACTCAGCGGAAGTATTTGAGTGGCACGGAATAAAAAGTAGTAATAGTTATAGCAAAAATTTTGCTAAATTTTACGAAAATTACGGAAAAAGTTAACAAATTACGATATGTCCGGAACAATTTTCGTATGAATTTTTTCTGTGTTGGTGTTGTGTACTCAGGTGAATAATATGTTTGTGATGTTACTCTGAGTGCATATCCACACCGGGCGAGCTTGAAAAATATGCCCGGCCACGGTGGGATTCGAACCTACGACCTTTGGAATACTAGCCCAATGCTCTTCCAACTGAGCTACGCGGTCAGGACGGTACGCGGTCAAGACGGTTCAGGACGGTTCGAGTATTCCAAAGGTTGTAGGTTCGAATCCCACCGTGGCCGGGCATATTTTTCAAGCTCGCCCGGTGTGGATATGCACTCAGAGTAACATCACAAACTTAATTTTCGTATGTTCGGAAAAATATTTGAATGTCCGGAAAAAATTGCGAACTCCTCTTCTTTATCCTCTTCGCTACGTCCCTGCAAAGTTGTACTCGACCAGATAGTGAAATGACTCGTCTCGTGACTCGACCTTTGGGTGACTCGTTACAACACTAGTACTAGTACTGGTTTGAGTAGAAATTTATTAACAGTGGCCTCTTCCTTAATTAAATTTGCTCGTTAAAAACTAAAGAGATCGCACCAAGATGGCTGCCACAAGTCTCATTATCTAGTTTTTAATTAAAACGTTCTAAAGCTCACAATATAGTTAATACATAAGAAAACACATTTGCTTGATAATGTAGCTAAATTAAACAAGTATAGTAATATGCGATTTGCAAAGACTTCGACAGACTTTAAAATCCTATCTCATCATATATAAATATTCTGACTTCAAAATTGGCTGATTGAATTAAAAAAAATACTCTATCCAGCATTAGTTTTTAGATCAGTGGTCGAGTTTAATAGACAACTACCTGGTTTTGCTGGCTGGCAATGACTACATATTTACAGCTAATATAAGTACCCCTTCTGAGAGGTTTCTTCATAAAAAGAAACTTCGAGTCCTCTTGGAAGTTAACCCACACAATATCTTACAAAAAACTTTAGAACATCCTTCCCCTTGCCTCAAACATCTCTATACTAAAACACCAAATTTAGACTTTAGTATGTCAAAAATCCCATAAACTATCCCGTAGGAAAATCCTCCCCTTCACCATTGGATTTCCAGACCTCTCAAATGGGAGGGAGGGGGGGGGGGTGGTAGTATGTACATATTAACCATGGCCCAATGAATTGCATTGTCAGACCATTAATGCCAGTAGGTTAGATCATCACCGCCATATTGGATTTGTCCTGTTTATTTCCCATTGCTATTATCAAGTTTCAACAATTTTGGCAAACTGCCGGATTAGCTTAAACTTGAATATCTATATACGTACGTATATCTAGATTTGAAGTGTAGTTCTCCGAAACCCAGAACTCTCACAAATGGTCGAAGAGTTGTTCAAGGTAGGAAATTCAACGAAACGGTGACTTTCACATGTGATCCAGGATTCACGCTATCTGGTTCAAGCATAAGAACGTGCCGTGGTCTAGGAACCTGGGACGGAGTTGAACCAAAATGTGGTGAGTTACGTGAAGTACGATTTGTTTGTTTGTTTGTTACAGCATGGATCAAAAAATTGAAAAAACTGGACAGATGGTTTCAGCGTATTGATAGCATCTCAACCTTGTTGAAAATTATAACATCACTATTAGTGATGTTTATATAATTATAACATCGGTATTAGTGATGTTATAAAGCGCACTGACTACGACTATGGCATCAGCATTTTGATGACGAATCGTTGCGAATTATGGCATGGCAGTGGTTACGCTTTTTTTGCTGAGTCGACCTTCTGTGTGTCTTTATTCTGTGATGCAGCTACGTATTTTAGTCAGAAAACGCAAGAATACAGCCATGCCACTCTACGATAGAATGTCTAAATATTCTTCACACATTCTCAGGGAACATTTCAAACATTAGAGAGTAAAGTACGCGTCAAAAAATTTAATTTTGAATGCTTTGCCGTGGTACAGGCAGGTTTAAAAGCCAATGAAACCATTTCCAATCTAATATAGCTGCAGTACTTGAACACGAAAAATGTAGGTCCAAAAATTTCTGGGAACTAGGTTCCTAGTTCCGATAATTTTCCTCATCTGGAGCTATCCATAATCAATGAAGTTGGTTTTGAAATCGTCTCACCGAGTAATTTGGTATTTTCGGTTAATTGTTCTTTAAAAACTGCAGATTTAGCAAAATAATGAAATTTGCAAACTGATTCATCCGTGTGTAAACCTTTGTTTGTGAACATGAAAATTTTCCAGGAAAAAATTGTCGTGATCCTGGGGTTGGCAACAACACCTTACGACGTGAACCGATTAGAAACAGTGGATTTATGACGTCAGAGGTCTTACACTATTATTGCATTGCCGGGTATCTTATTGATGGAAAGGATAGCATTACATGTCAAGCGGATGGAACGTGGGCTGGCAGTACACCTCAATGTTACCGTATGTATGAGTTTTTTCTAGCCTGCATAGAAGACGGGGAGAAGCTGTAACAATTAATAGCTTCCATTTCAAAGTTTATTTAACTTAAACTACTGAGAAATATAATATTTTGGTTTCATTTTATAGCCAGAAATTACGGACATGCATCATTCTACTACTTCTTTAGTAATTTGCATGCCACGCTGCAGTACTAATATGGCTTAAAAAGTAAACAGTGAATTATATAAAGCTATAAAGCGACATTGTCAATCGCAAAATCTGAGAATATAACTTGCCTCGCTCACTGGTTGCAAACCAAAATCTGTCGAAATATTTAGTGTAACACGTTGGCTTGATTTCAGTCACTGCCTTTTCTGCATTTTCAATATTTGTACAAAGGTTAGTTTTTACGACATTTGTCCATATCTTTAGGCCTGGTTTCCATATGTTCGTAGCAGTCGTAAAGATTGAGTCACAATCTTTCTCATCAGCCGACATACAACATTGTAGAAATGAAAATACGCTGAGTGATTATAACTAGAGAATACTTATGATTTATATGTGGTTTACAGGTATAAACTAGTATTAACTGGCGGTTGGGAAAGATCGTGACTTTATTTTTACGACCATTACGACCATATGGAAACCATATATAAAAGTGTTGGGAAAGCATTAAAAACAGCTGATCAAGGTCGAATGACTGCCAACTCTCATGCACTCTCATTCTCGTTTAATTAATCTGAGCTTTACTGTGATTTTCCTCTTGGTATAGGCATCTCGTGCCAACCACCAACCCTTCCTGCCAATTCTGAAGTGTTAAGCTCAGTTTGGTTTAACACATCACAAGGAGCAAGGGATGGAAGAAAATTACTTTTAAGATGCAATCCAGGATATTATAAAGTTGCCACTTCCTCACTGATGACTTGTTCTGGTGATCAGTGGCAACTGCCAACGTCGTTTAAATACACGTAAGTGTAAATACACTCAAAGATAAAGTCCCTTGTTAATAATTTCGTATTGAGCTGGGTGGGCTGAGCCTTCAATCTTGGACGTTCCATATAATATTAACTTGACATTTTAGCTAGTTCCCGGTAAAAAATTATTAACTTTTAGTAATCACGACTTACTCTTAGATAACTTGCCATTAGATAACGTAATATAGCCTCACTTTTTGGAATTCTTTCATTTTGAAATACTAGCTAATTGAAGAATTCATGCCCCCCTGTCATACATACACGCCTTGTTATTCCTGATATTGTCATGATAATTTCGTGATATTTAACATCTTAATTTTTTACTTCTGACCTTTATGTTGGTACATATGTAGGTATGAGATACATTTGATATAGATATTAATGTTAGAAAATATTAAATATACCCTGGAAACAGCAGAAACCCCGCCCAATATTTTGCCCCTCCCAACTCGCAAGTTTGGGGCAATTACCTGTTAGGAGAGACCTGGTATTCTCAGCGCTCCACTAGCGTGACTCACCGATCTTTCTTTTATTCTATTTTCGTAGCTAAAAATTGTGGCAATCCAGGCGTTCCTATCAACGGAGGCAAGATTGGATTGATGTATCATTTTAAGAGCAAAGTGACATTTTACTGTAATAAATGTTACAAACTTGTTGGTGCTGGCTATCGCGTCTGTAATGCAGATCAATCATGGTCAAACCGGAACCCGACTTGCAAGAGTAAGTACAAGCAAACATCTTCTAATAACCACTTTGTACTTTGTTTGCTTGTTTGTTTGTGTGTATTTTTTCTTGTTTGTGTGCATGTTTGTGTGCATGCCAGAATAATAAAAATAATAAACAGCTCCCGTGGCGTAAATAGATGACATAAATCTATTAAATTATGGTTGAAATTCGCTGTGATCGTACAAAAATCTGAACAAAGTGTTGGACTGAAGTTCATGAATGTTAAAGGCCCGGTAAATTTATAGTTTTTGGAGTACAAATAAATGTCAAGGGCTTTCGTCGCTTTGGGAGTCTTTTTTGAGAGCCATGCCTCTCTGCACTTTCCTCTCAGCAGCCATGGTTTTACAATTCTGAAACCCCGGACCAGCCTGACGTTAAAAGAAAATTGAACTAAGCTACAGTACATGTGTGTCGACAGGGTGCCCACAATTGGCAATTCATTAATATCAACATATAATTTTAAATGCTCGCAATTTTTCTTTGTATAGTATCCAGATTTAAAAGTAGTACACATAGCTAGCAACACTGAGAAACGTTGACCTTCAATGCTATCCAAATGACCCTCACGGCCAAAAAGCAGAGTGTTTATTTGTGTACTACATATGCCGAATGGGATGTGGCAGAGGGTGGAAAGGTGATGGTGGGAGATTGATCACGTTTCGCGAAAAATAGAACGATAATTTCGCGATTCATAAAGAAAAAATTCTTCCATTTCACGTTTCACGGAAGGTACAACGTTGACAAAATTATTTTTCTCCTTTTATCCGCCGAACGAAGTTGTAGTTTAAGAGAGGCTGTCTGTAAGGCCAATGAAAATTGATATCATGTTTCTCGTCCATAATTTTCAAAAATTTGGAGCGGGATTTTTTCATTTTTCATTTTTCATTATTTTTTTTATTTGAATTCTGCTTGTCAATAATTTCCTTGACCCAGTAAGAAACCCCATAAAAATCTGAAGTATTAAAAATTGGTGTATAATTCATTTTAATTTAATACGTCCTACCCTACAGTCTACAGACTACAGTATATTTCTTTACATACCAGGGCTGACATGAAAAATAGAGGCATTCTGGCGATTAATATCTTTAGAAAGACACAATTTGAGTTGCGCTTGCGAAATGCAGCAATAAGACTTTTATCTGGAGATGAATTTGGTGTTTTTTAAGTTTATTTTTCAAAAATAATGAATAATAAAAAATTTTCGTGCGGCAGATAAATCCCATGCGGGCGGGGACGAGAAACATGATATCAATTTTCATTGGCCTAAATATCGCCTATGTTGTGCAGAACGTGAAATATCAAAATCGCTCAAACTTTGTCAAAATGTAAGTTAGTTGGACCTGATAATATAAAAATGTGTTTGACTTTGATTCGAAAAATATTTTTAACGAGAAGTCGATATTTGTGTTCTCACGGCTGACGGGCGTATTTTCAGTGCGATACAAACTACTTCAGATTGAGCTTGTTTACGCTGGTAAATCATGAATGTCCGATTAAAATCCATATATCGCCACTGATACCTCGAATTAGAACATGAACATTATACCAACGTTTTGAGCAAGGACTGATCTTTCGATAAGTTAAATAACATTTTTGGGTCATACAAAATTTCAAGAGTTTGAGCGAATAATGGAAGGGTCAAATTGCCCCAAAACGGCTGTTTAGCCCCAAAGCGGCTGTTTACGCAAAGCAGCGAAATGAATGAATTGCCTTGAATATATTCTTGTTAGCTAAAATAATATATAGCAAAGCAATGTGAAATACTGTACATTAACTGAAGTTCGTGTCGTTCTTCAGCTTTTTAAGCGTTAATCGTAATATTATTTGAAGTCAAACGGCTGCAGTACGCTAATGACTTGTGTATTATCTACCTTTCTATAGCGAAATCTTCTTTGAGCGCTCTCTGTGGAACCCAATGAACTTTGAAAATGTTCTTATGACTTACAGTCGATTCTACATAACTTTTGTCAAATGTTCCGAACTTCTTTCTGATCACGAAGCTCATAAATTCGACTTAATAGACACTTCCCGAATTTGCTTGAGTGCACACGAAACAATAGCTTGGAATCGAGGCGGACAATGTAATCCATTGGAAAACTACTTATTTCCAATGGATTACATTGTCCGCCTCGATTCCAAGCTATTGTTTCGTGTGCACTCAAGCAAATTCGGGAAGTGTCTATTCGTTGCGAAGTTCAAATGTCCGTAATAAATTCACAAGCCAGTTTGTAAACAAAGCCTCTGATTGGCTTCTTTTAATTTACGTAGATTTATCTAGTTATCTATTAATATGTTTCTAATAATAAATAAACACACGGTGAATAAGAGGAATTTTCAAGAAATTAGAGTTATTACTCAGCAAATTAATGTGAAATAAAATATAATATGATGCAGACTTATTTTTATTTGGTGTACTTTGGTATATCGTCAGCTGTGTTCAATTACATTGTTGACGTTAATAAAGGTTTATTGTAATAAATGTCGCTGTCACTTTTAACCCATAACATAAATCGCAATTTGTCGCTTTTTTTCAGTCAGAAGCTGTTGTTTGAAGCTCTTTTTTAGAGAGTCTGTCGCCTCTTTTTAAGGAATGTCGCCTGTCGGCCATAACCCCTTGGTGCGCCTCATTAACCAAATAAATTACTTTGTCGCGGAGAAAGATTTTAGTGTTGCTGTAAATTTGCGAAGCTGTCATTCTTTTGTTTAATAAAGTTCAATCGAATACATTTTTATTGTGAATTCGAGGGGTATGGCCCGGTGCACCTTTTTTGGTGCAGGTGCAACACTCACAGCAGTCTCTAAGTCTAACCTTAAATAACGAAACTCGGCAAAAAAAATCGCTAGCGTTTTCATCCACGCACTATGTGCTCGATAAAATTACTAAATTACATTAAACATTAAATGTTTCTGGCCTTATTAACATAACTTAACTTACTGCATGAGGAAAGATTGCCGACATAGCTATGCATGGGCTTCCTGTCTTGTGGACTTGCGATATTATTAAACTCATGTGAACCAGTGTTTAACTAAGCCGAGAAAGAGGAAAACTTTTTACATTTGGCACAGTATGTAATAATGATGCCGTGGAAACTTTGATTAAGTCATAAGAACATTTCAAAGCTCATTCGAATACACATAAAACGCTCAAAGAAGATTTCCAATAGAAACAAATCACTGGGGGTACTGTAGTTACTTGACCTCGAATAATATTATGATTAGCGGATAAAAAGCTGAAGAAAGATACTGACTTTAGCTAATATATTGTACAGTATCTCGCATATGTTTTTACAGAATATTAACTCCACTTTCTTGAAAATTCCTCTTATTGACTTTTTATTTATTAATTATTGGGTAACACAATAGATAACTAGATAAATCTACAACATTAAAAGAAGCCAATCAGAGGCTTTGTTTACAAACTGGCTTGTGAATTTTATTACGGACTTTTGAACTTCGCAACGAATTAAGTCGAATTTATGAGCTTCGTGATCAGAAAGAAGTTTGGAACATTTGACAAAAGTTATGTAAAATCGACTGTAAGTCATAAGAACATTTTCAAAGTTCATTGGGTTCCACGGAGAGCGCTAAAAGAAGATTTCGCCATAGAAAGGTAGACATTATTACACAAGTCATTAGTGTACGGCAGCCGTTTGACTTCAAATAATATTACGATTAACGCTTAAAAAGCTGAAGAACGACACAAACTTCAGTTAATGTACAGTATTTCACATTGCTTTGCGATCTATTTAGCTAACAAGATTATATTTAAATTATAATCGGCTATTTTTCAAGGCAATTCATTCATTTTGCCGCTTTGCGTAAACAGCCGTTTTGGGGCAGTTTGACCCTTCCATTACTGGCTCAAACTCTTGAAATTTTGTATGGCCCAAAAATTTTTTTTCTCTAATCGAAAGATCAGTCCTTGCTAAAAACGTTGGTATAATGTTCATGTTCTAATTCGAGGTATCAGTGGCGATATATGGATTTTAATCGGACATAGTCTAAAGTTGCGTAAAACAAGCGACAAGTTGAAAAATCGATAAAATATTCAAATCTAGATCAAATTCGACTTTGAGGGCTGCTACTTGTACGTTAGTGTTTGTATTTTATGAAAAATACGTTTAAATGTGCAGTACTTTTGTTTTACCAGCGTAAACAAACTCCATCTGAAGTAGTTTGTATCGCCCTAAAAATAGGGCCGTCAGCCGTGAGAACACAAATATCGACTTCTCGTTAAAAATATTTTTCGAATCAAAGTTAAACAGATTTTTATATTATCAGGTCCAACTAACTTACATTATGACAAAGTTTGAGCAATTTTGATTTTTCACGTTCTGCACGACATAGGCGATATTTACAGACAGCCTCTCTTAAATCCAAAGGCAAATATTTTAATGGGACTAACGTGAAGAATGAAGAGTGTATCACATGCGCGATCCTCACATCGCCCATAATCATATTTATGTGAAAAGGGTTACTCAACTCTCTACAGGAAGTCTTGCGCTTCCTCCAGGCACTCCGGTTTCCTTCCACAGAGAAGGTTGACAGGGCGGGTTGGGATTAAGCCCCTAACCAACCCTTCCACCGTAGCTGTGTTCCGTGATCAGACATGAGTCTTAAGAGGCCTGCCACAAGCATCCTTAGTAAGCCTTAGACTGGAACAGATTGATCTGCATCCTTCGCAATTCAGCATAGTTCTCAGCTGCAAGTAAAGACACCCCATCCCACATTGTTCCCTCGCCCAAAGATGCTCATGCACTACAATGATTAGTGTAATGTAGTTGACATAATATAATGTTCAATTTTTCTGCAAAGAGCCACGATTTATCAGCACTTAAGATGTCGCTCTAAGAACCGACCAATGACTCTCGGCTCAAAAAAAAGAAATTCTTTGTTACTTTCACAATGAAATGTATTTACCCCAAGAACAAACAAACACTATTTAGAATTTTGAATTTTTATTAATTTTTAAAATTTCAGCAATTTTTCGGTCCCGCGCCGTCGCGCAGAAAATACTCTGTCTATATCAGGCATAAAAATTAGCCGAATTCAAATACATATAATTTTAAAAGTATTCAACCAAATTTTATGATTTTTTCACCCACCAACGTGAAAATTATTCTACTTTGAAAAGACTAGACGAAATTTCGGAAAATCATACATCAAGAGGCATTTCTTATTAAAAGCTGGCGATCGTAGTTTTATAATGTTATTTAACAGGCTGAATTCGAAAATGATGGTCGCCAGATCTCAATCTGCAGTTGAGTAGTCGAAAATGACGTCACAACTTTCGTCTACATATGACGTCACAGCACATATAGATTCAAGAGAAGTAAATATTTTAGATTTGTTACTCATCCAATTACAGCATGTTTAAGCCATTTTCAATCACAAATATCTTTCACCTTCATGTTGGAAAAAAATGTTCAAAAAAATTCAATAAATGCTCATTATCATTAAATGTCTATATCACGTTGCAAAATGCATTCCGGTTAAATATCAATGTTGTTAATTATATGACACAGTGCATGGAAAGCTCCCTAATATACTTAGCGCGTATTCTAAATTCTGATCATACCTCACTGTTCTGTTCATTTATCGCATTTGTTCTTGCAGGAAATTTTTTCGTCCACAGAGCAGCCGCAGACGCCAGTACAGAACAACTTTGCTTTCTTGCAGCCACAGCGTAATGTCGTGCAGCCACTTTTATAAGAGCTGGATATAATTTCCTTGCATGCGTTCGGAATGGGTTCCTTTGTCATAAGGAGAGGGACGAGTTTACTGCCGCCTTCGCTTTCTCTCTTCCATCACATTCGTCCGGGTTTGGCAGGATAGGATTCTGGCATGAAGTTTTGTTTCCACACGAGTGATTTATAGTGCATGCGCTTGATATGCAATTCCAGTGCGTTCTTGGTCGGATGCAACGCTTCAGGTTTCTTTATCTTCGAAAAGAGAAGAACTCGCGCATCATTCACTGATTCCATGTGCCCGCAGTTGTAAATCGCACAGATGAACTTTTCGGCATCCCTGACTTTGTTGGCCGATAGTTCTCCTTCACCTAGCGACGCTAGAAGGTAATGTTTGTCTTGAAATGTCTTCCACGCTGACAATTTGGAGTGGTTGGAGATATATGACGTTCTGTCACAACCAGTCAGCGCATGGAAAGGGAGAAACGCTGATAGTGATCCCGTGGGAAATTCTCGCTTATCGTCGTGATGTTAAAGATTTTGCGCCTGGCCGCTCCTGGCCGCTGTTCCTGCCATCATCCACACGTTTGGAGAAGGCATACTTGACAAATGCGCCACAAGAAGTAACAGTCCGTCAGTATCTCAGGCAGACACAACAACCGTGTCACAACTGTTGACGATAGCATGTAGAACCAGTCTTGTGTCAGCTTCTTCGTCATCTGCGCGCGAAAGAGAAGGATCACCCAATTGGCTTGACGATTGCGCTGCTTTTCCGTCGTAAAATCCACCTGCAACAACAATGACTTTCTCTTGAGGTGCATTTGCAATTAAATGTTCTGACAGAAATTTGGCCAAGTTTTCCTTGTTTTCCGGTAAAGCTAAGACATTTGACCAGCTGTTCGGAAGTGGAACATTCTTGTTCTCAATTACACGACGAACGGGGCGAATAGTCCTGGTACGGCGTTCTCTCGTGCCTGCTTTGATTGAACTCTTCTCGTACCTGTCGAATAGTACGTGAATTTGCTGATACCGCCAACCTGCTACCAACACGGCATTTTGAATCTATCTGCATAGGCTCCGAAGGTTTGAGCGACGGCAGGTTTTCCTACTGCTGCTACTAATGCCATGCCGTCAATCAGTAAACATGCACTTCCTTGCAAATCAATAGCACTCGGACATTCAATTCCTCTGGTGAGAACATCAGCCAGCGCTGCTTTCTGGCCAGTTCTAAGATTACCATTCCTATCCGCTAATGATATGGGTACGGACATTAGATAGATAGATAGATAGATAGATAGATAGATAGATAGATAGATAGATAGATAGATAGATAGATAGATGGATTTAATAAAATACTTCGCAGCCATAGGCTGAATTGCGTATTTTTTTTTACAAGTAAATTTAACTAATTACGAGAATATAAAAGAAGAGTTTATCAA